AGAAGTAGAGAAATACTTCTAGTTTGCCTAGGCATCCTTCATCAAACTTGACCACCATTGGGATGAGATTCCTTGGGACTTTTTTTGAGCTCTAAAAGGTGGTTTTGGCTCAGATTTTGGGCTGGTTTTGCAGCTGTGCATCAAGGGTAAGAACTTTCTCCCTTTTAGCTTATTTTGCATGCTTGCTTGGCCATCTTTTCACACTACTTTGGGGATGTTTTTGGGATGGTGTTGAACTACAAAAACCTCTATTTTTTCTCTGTTTTTTAGTCCTAAAAGTATTGGTTTGTGCCTTGTTTGGCTAGGGGATTGTCCTCCTTGGCTTGTAAGGTCTTTTGAGTTATCTTTCAAGCTTTTCAAACAACTTATTTTGGCTTTAAAACCACTGAATTCCAGAGGAATTTCAGTGGTAGAAAACTTATTTTGAGGCTCAAAATAGGAGGGGGTGGTCCCCCCCTTCCTGTTGTCTTGTTAGCATGTGTTGTTGGCCTATCAAATGAACATGTATTTCTCCCTTCTTGAAGGTTAGTTTGAGCATGTTTTTGTGAATTTTTTAACATGTTATAACTCTATTTTTAGTTGGTTCAATCACTTGTTGCATGCTCCTTACACTTGTAGTGTAAATCCTCTTTGCTAGCCTTGCATGCCTAATGAGTTAGGTTGTTAATCTAGCATGTGTTGGCTTAGTCTCAGCCCATTTTTGGTGATATTTTGGCATGCTATAACTCTAATTTTGGCTGATTTGGTCACTTCTTGCTTGCATTTTCTACTTGTAGTGCAAATCGTGCTTACTAGATTAACATGCTTGATGTTGTAGCCTATTATTTTAGCATGCATTGGCTCCATTCCAGCACATTTTTGATAATTTTTTGAATTTTTTTAGGACTGTTTTGAATGGTCTTAGGCCTTTGAGGCTTACCTTGTAGGGCTATAGTGCAAATGGCTTTGCTAGCCTTGTGTTTTGATGCCTCTAGCATGCTTTGTTTGAGATGTTTTCATGCCATGACATCATTTCACACATGATTTCAGAGCATATTTCTCTGTCATACTCTCATGTTTATCACTCTTTAATTGTGTTTGAGAGTTGAGCCTTATGCCTTATTTGTGAGCCAATGCATGAACATGATTTTTCTTGCTTTTCATGTTACCATCTCAGCACATTTTGGCCATTGTTTTGGCATGTTTGAGGCCTGTTTGGGGCTGGTTTGGCCATTTGAGCATTGTCTTGCATGCCTCTAGTGTAATACACTTCACTAGCTTTGATGCTTAAGCCTTTCAACATGCATTACATGGTTTGTTTGCATGATTTCAAGTCATTTTGCATGCCATTTCAGTGTTGGAATATATGTCATTGTATCCCATTCATCATTTGTTATATCACTTTGAAAGAGGTTTTAAGCCCTTTGTTGGTTTGAGCATGAAATCGAGGCGTTCATGCCTAATGGTTTTAGCCTTTTCTTGAGGGTTTCAACTAACCAACAGCATGATGCTTTTTTCATGCTCAAGATGCTTGTGGCTTAGTCCGTCTTTCCATTTAAAGGACTTCTCACTTTTGGATTTAACCGGTTAAAGGATGGATTGGTAATCTAAAATGAGTAAACAAAATTGAACCAAGTAAAACATGTCAAGATAACATGTTCGAGTTGCATTGCATGTGTTTTGATCGGACGTTAATCCAAACACTAGAAATGAGAGGCGTTTCATACTCAAAGTGATGAAACGTGCCTCATTTCTCGGTCGCCGTCCCCCTTGATTGTGTATGACAGGGTGGAGGCCTCTTGAGTCTTGTGTGTTATTTGTGCATTCATTGACTTGTACAAACCTGGCTTCTCGGCCATCGTGCATTGCGATGCTCGGTTGGTGGCCCGAGAGTTGAGTATCGCACTTCTTTGAGCTTGAGAAATGATAAGGAGTGTGGTGGTACACACATTTCCTTGCAAATACACTGTCATGCCTCTGTTTGTGCTCTGTTGTAGCAAAAGGAGGAAATTTAGGGAATCAGTGGCCGACCGGCCACCAGAGAAGCTGACCGGCCATCAAATCTGCCAACCGGCCACCAGTACTAGCCAATGGCCATCACTTCTAGCCAATCATCCATCAGTATGTTCCTGAGATCAAACAGAAGCAGTCTGGAAGTTGGCATGATTTTCAAAGGTCTAAAAGAGTGCAAACAGAGGCATCATGAGGCACGGTAGTGGATTTCCGAGCGAAGCTGACCGAGCATGCATATCCCCCTCGCTTCCCGAGGCCATCTATTTAAATTGCTTAGCTAAACTAGTTCATTAGCTTAGTTATTTTGTAATTAATTAGTTAAGTGTTTAATTAATTAATTTGGTTTGTATTTAATTAGCTTAGATTAGCTAGTTATTCAAATTCATTTGCGTTGTAATAATTAATTAGCTAAATTAGTTAATTAGTTGATTTGTAATAAGTAGTTTAGCTTAGCGTAGCTAGTTAGCGCTTATTTATTCGGACCCCCCGTCGAGAGGGCAAATGCTGTAATAAGTGTGCGTGTGTGTGTGAATGTCTTCCAACCCCACGTCTTTCTCCCTTTTACTTATCCGCTTTTGATGGTTAGTTTAGGGCATATTTCAATTAGCATACCTTATGCTTTGCATGTTTGCATCATTCATTTGTCTTGCATGTACCGGGCTCGGCGCGTCATTCAAACTGCATTGTATTTCAATACCTATTTGAATACATGTATTAATTTTTGCATTCATATGCCATCTTAGATAGCCGAGCCTATTTAACTGCATTTTGCATGTGTTGCATTAGGCATCTTAACATAGCTAGGATCATGCATTGATTACTAACTAGCTTCTGTTTTGACTTAGAGTACACTGTGAGTGTTTATGCTTTAGCATCTTTGCATGTATGTAAGTGACTGCCATAATAGCATGCTTGCCATGAGGCTATGTGCTTAAGTGATTAGCTGCATGAATGCCTGTGGATGAAGGCTTCATTGCTTGAATTGGAACAATTCATCAAAATGTGCGTTTTAAGCCCACTTGAGAATGGCAAAATCTTGTTTTTCTAAGCCCACTTGAGGGTGGCAAATCCGCGTCTTAGCCTACTTGAGGGTAGCATCTTTCAAACCATTTTCGAAAAACAAACATGAGATGTTTTGTTCCAAATTGAGTGATTTAGTCTATACTTGTATGTTGTGCGCATCACATAGTAAATTAGATTAATAACTAGAATAAGAACACATGTGTTTTAAAAAACAACATATCATGTTAGTAGAGGCTGATCCTTTGATCGGGCGAGCGGGGGTGCTCATTTCAGGACCTTCCCCTCTCGTACCCAAGTTTCCGAGCCGAGGCAACTTTGGTGATGACGGACACGTGGCCTTAGGCACGAGTCAGGGTTTCCTAAATTTCCCAAAATAAATATTTAGGTGGGGACTCTGAAATCTGGCAAAGCAGTCCATGTTTGGCTCTTCTTGATTAAAATCGATTTTTCAAAACGATTTGTCAGATTTGGACTCTTTGGTGATTTGTCAGTCTTACATTGCACTTTATGAGATTAGATTCAGAACCGTGATAGGAGTCCGAACTGTAGTAGCTAGAACTACAATTCGCGCCCTCGCGCGCGGAGCGGAGTTTGGGCGGTCTACAGTTTCTACGACTGAAGCAATCCAGCAGGTCATTGATGTTCAGCTTTGACTTGTTGGCAGTGCAAACATCGGGCCACAAAATCAACAATGCTTTTCTTCATTCTAGGTCACCATAAGTTTTGTTTCAAGTCATGATACATTTTTGTATTTCCTGGATGCATAGCAAATTTCGAACTGTGGGCCTCTGTTATAACACGTTTCCTCAACTCACAACAATCTGGTACACAAAGTTTATTATGAAATTTCAGCACTTCATTTTCAATCACGAATCTCGGCCTTGGTTTTGAGTCAATTTCATCAAAACATTTCTTCAACAACTCATCTTCACATTGTTTCTCTTTGATTTCTTCAATGATTGCAAGTTGGGCAGAAATGACAGCCAAGATCCCGCCTTGTTCACGCAACACAATTTCAATTTCATTCTTCTCCAAGTCACACGATAACTCTCTCCGATCGGTGAGCAAACATGACAAATTCCCAATAGATTTTCGGCTCAATGCATCTGCAATGGTATTTTCTTTCCTTGGATGATACAAAATTTGCAAATCATAGTCCTTGATCAATTCCAACCATTTCCTCTGTCTCATGTTCAACTCTTTTTGGGGGAAGAAATATTTTAAGCTTTTATGATCTGTGTATACTTCATAAGTTACTCCATACAGATAATGGCGCCAAAATTTTAAAGCAAACACCACGACTGCCAATTCAAGGTCATGAGTCGGGTAGTTCTTTTCATGAGGACGGAGTTGTCGAGAGGCATAAACAATTACCTTTCTATTCTGCATTAACACACAACCCAAACCTTTATAGGAAGCGTCACTGTAAATCTAGAACCCATCGGTACCATTAGGCAAAGTCAAAATCGATGCAGTTACTAACCTAGTCTTCAACTCTTGGAAGGTAGACTCTCTTTGATTGTTCCAATCAAATGATACATTTTTCTGGGTCAACTGGGTCAATGGCATAGCAAGTTTTGAAAAGTCTTTCACAAATCTTCTGTAGTAACCTGCAAGTCCTAGAAAACTTCTAACTTCTGACACGTTTGTCAGTCTAGGCTAGTCCACAATAGTTTTAATTTTTTGTAGGTCAACAGAAATACCATCCTTGTTGATTACATGCCCCAAAAATGCTACATTGTCTAGCCAAAATTCACATTTGGACAATTTTACATACAATTTCTTTTCTCTCAGAATCTGTAAGGTAGTTCTCAAATGATTCTCATGTTCTTCCCTACTTTTAGAATAAATTAGTATGTCGTCAATGAATACAACAATAAATTCATCAAGAAATTGTTTGAACACCCTATTCATCAAGTCCATGAAAGCGGCAGGTGCATTTGTTACTCCAAATGGCATGACTAAAAATTCATAATGCCCATATCTAGTTCTGAATGCTGTTTTCTCAACATTTTCTGCTTTGACCTTTAACTGGTGATATCCAGATCTAAGATCTATCTTGGAGAACACTTGTGCTCCTTGGAGTAGGTCAAACAAGTCATCTATTCAGGGTAATGGGTATTTGTTCTTCACGGTTACTTTGTTTAATTCACGGTAGTCAATACACAGTCTCAAAGATCCATATTTCTTTTTAACAAATAGGACTGTAGCACCCCAAGGTGAAGTGCTCGGTTGGATAAATTTCTTATCTAGTAATTCCTGAAGTTGAGTTTTCAATTCTTTTAATTCAGAAGTAGACATTCGGTAAGGAGTTTTAGAAATTGGTTATGTCCCATGTACAACATTAATGGTGAACTTAATTTCCCTATCAATTAACTCCCCAGGTAATTCATTTGGAAACACATTGAGAAATTCACAAACAACAGGAATGGTTTCCACATTAGCACTATCAGAAGATACAGTCATTGCACAACACAAGTAGCCCGACAACCTTTCCTTAACAATTTCCTAGCTTTCATAATTGAGATCAAATATGGTGGAGGAACTACCCCATTTTCAGTAAAAACAAACTCAGGCATACCAGGTGGTCTAAATACAACAGATTTACTCACATAATCGATGGTGGCATAGTATTTAGTCAATCAATCCATGCCCAATATACAATCAAAATGATCAATCCCCACGGGTAATAAATCAACATACAATGTCATGTCACCGATCATAATATCACATGCTGGGTATACATAAGCACATATCATAGAACCTCCAGATGGTGTAGACACAAATAGTAAACAACTCATAGGTTCTAACGGGCTAGTTAATTTCTGAGAAAAAGCATGTGACACAAATGAATGTGTGAAGCCAGAATCTATTAACAAATAAGCATTCTTAGCACAGATAGTGATTATTCCTGACACCACAGATTCGGTGTTTTGCACATCTCCAGGCACTAATGCAAACATTCTCCCTTGCCTTAGCATTTCAATCTCAGTATTATCCTTGACATTAGTTCTTGCATTGGCCCTCGTTCTAGGAGCGGATCTGACTGAACTTGCGGCAGGGCGGTTAGCATTCTCAAACTTCAGCGGACAATCTCGAATCATGTGGCCAGTCTTGCCACACCAGAGGCACGGTGATATGGGCCTTTATGTTTCCTTCTGCAATCAGGACAGTTTGGAGTAGAGCCACTACTCTAGCTAGAGCTGCTAGAGGATCTCATGTTCTGCCTCTTTGGAAATGGCCGACCCTTCTTGAAATTGAATCTGGACCGTTTACCCTTCCATTTAGTTTTTGGAGTTGGAACTTATTTCTTTGCTGCCAAAATGGCCTTCACCATCAATGCTCTATCAAGGACTTCTACATATATCGGCAATTTCAAAATGCCAACGCGGTCATACACTTCTAAGTCCAAACCGCCTTCAAATTTTTCTGCCTTCTTATAATCGGTGTCTACTATATATGGGACAAAACGGGCTAACTCAGTAAACTTGGCCTCATATTCGGCCACTAACATCCTGCCTTGTTTTGAGTTCTTGGAATTCTAACACTTTTCGATCTCTGAAACATTGGGGAAAGTACTTGTTGTAGAAAATCTCATTAGACTGAGCCCACGTCATGTTCCCATTGTTAGTTCGGATCAGTAACCACCATCTCCGGGCTTCAAATTTTAACGTGTAGGCGGCCAAAAGAACTTTTTGTGTTTCAAAGCAAGGAAATACTTCAAATAGTTTCTCCATTTCAAACAACCAGGTTTTTGCTTTTAAGGGTTTAATGCCACCCAATAAAGTTGGCGGCTTTATCTTCATATAAATTTGTGAGTCAGGTTGATTACATCATTGTTATCAGGCTCATTTTGTGCAGGTGGAGGCGGAAGGGACACAGGTTGTTGCCTCTGTTACGGTATTAATGCTTCTATCAGAGCTGCAAGCATTTGTTCCATTCGGCTCATTCGAGCCTCAGATGACTCAATTGTTCCGTTGCTACTTGTATTTTCCATTTGCTATAGGTAAACAGAGTACTATAAACATAGGCGAATAGTCCTTGTTTTCAATATTCAGATAATTCATTTCGATTTCATGGGGTCATGATCAAATTCAGTCTTCACATTTAAAGAATACACACTCACACATGCAGATGGAATGCCCTTACTTCTTACTAGGACACCCTATAGCTCATATGGACTCATGTGTAGGGTAATACTCATGTGCTCTGATACCACTCTGTCACGGTCGAAACCCGTCCCTATAGGTTTAGCGTCGTAACCGGCCAGTAATCCTTGGATTACCAAAGGCCTCTTAACAGAAAGACATATTATAAGGGATTGCGGAAGAAAATATAGAAATATACATTGTCCATAGAGCCGTGTTAACGTATGTGAGACAAAAGTCTTTAAAACAAACTTATATATATGTGTGTGTGTGTGTGTGTGTGACATCATAAATACACTAGTCTTACGTCACCAAAGCCACATGTAACTTTCCAAAACATATTCAAACAAAACATACACATAAGAAGGTACAAAAGAAATTCCAAGACTCAAAAACTTGATCAGATCTCAAAAGGGAACCTCCACGGGAGGCACGATGGCTGGCTGACACCAAAACTCGCCAGGCGGTATCTTAGTCCTAGTCATGCGCCTACTCACCTACATACATAAATAATAAATAGTGAGTGAGAGCCCAGTGAATAATAATGGAGTAGAGGGTTTTGATGAATGATGATGTCCATAACATAGTCATAAAATCAGAATTTATATCAGAAACAGATTTACATTCACATTCTTTTTCAAGTCAATGACAGAAATCAAAATACATGCTTAATCTCACATCCGTTAGCGCTAACAAATCACATACAAAGCATCAAGGGTCATACTTGTCAGTTCCATATAGAAACCTCCGGCCGGGTACAGATAACTTGTTAGTTCCATAAAGGAACCTCCAGACCGGGTACGGATGACTTGTCAGTTCCATAAAGGAACCTCCGGCTGGGTACAGATAACTTGTCAGTTCCACAAAGGAACCTCCGGACCACAAAGGAACCTTTGGACAGAGAACAGAAAACACCCTTGAGCCATGGAATTGTTGCCACGAATACTTTTCAAAATATGGACAATCATTCATTTATACAAAGCATAGCATTTTAAAACAATGATCATTTCACATCATTAGAAAATAATTAAAGTCAAACAAAACTTTACACAGTTATTACTCACAATTAATAGATGGCTCCAAAGCAAACATACAGAATGGGAAAATCAGACGTTTTGTGGCTCGTGACCAACACAGTTACAGAATGAACACGTACTAAATTACACACCTGGAAACATTAACTTAATCCTTTGTTATCTTGGTGTGTTTCTACTTCTTATCCTCATTATTATGTCTTAATCTTGGCCTAGGAATGCCTAGGATGAAATGAGGATGCAAAAATGCATTTAAAAACACTTGGTCAAAAATACTGGAAACAGGGGTCTTGCTTGAGCGTAACTTCCTTTGCTCAAGCAGAAATGCAAAATGTAAGTGGTCGCTTGAGTGCAACTTTTGTCGCTCGAGTGGTCTGTAAATTCTGCAAAAGTACTGGTTGCTTAATTCTTCTGCTCGATGCTCGCTCAACGCTCGCTCGAGCATGAGACTCATATCGTCGCTCAAGCGTAATTTTTGTCGCTCGAGCGGTCTGCAAAACACGCAAACTTCTGGAAGCTTGCATTTCACGCTAGAGCAGACTTCAAGTCCCTCAAGCGAAAGTGTAAGATCACAGAGCGGTCACTCGAGCGCAGGTTATTTCGCTCGAGCAGAGAGTAGAATTCTAGAATTTCCAGATTGCTCTTCTCAACACAAAACTCAAATTCAAAGTTGTAAAACATGGTCTTTTGGGCAAAAAACTTGAGGAAATTATAGGGAACACTTGTAAATGGTGAATTCAAAATCATTCACAAAATCAATGCCCAAAAGCTTGCCCATTGTCCAAAACAAAACCCAAATCTTAGAAAACATAGCATTACATATCATGCATGTAAAGGTGCAAGTTCCAAGCTTTCAAAACATGATCCAATGAGGTGTCTAGTTCAAAAGCATGTTGAATTCTTAAACCATAGCTAAAATATGAACATGCATGGAACAAATTCTTAGACAACATGCTCTGTTTATCATGTGATGCACATGCATGCATGACACCATTCAACTTGTGAAATC